ACAGTGATTGCAATTTACTTCACAAAATATCAGAAATGACAGGTGAATCAATTATGTGACATGGTTAAAGATTGGTCTGCTGTATTTATTTACCCCCCCAACCCCTGATTTAATCTCCTGCTTGTTTGGTCTTCCTGTCACACAATGAGGGTGAGGGCTAGCACATGCTTCCTCCAAGGCACATGAAGCCCCACTGCATCTTTTCAGCCTGCTGCTAAAGCTAAACATCACTGGAGAGCTCCTTGCACTTGGAGGAGATGCTAACTACCATTTCTCTTAACAGATAACTGTGCTGACTTAAATACCTCAATAGAAACCCTGGTGGTTTAGTACTGTGTTTTGGCTTTTGTTGATGAGTTTGTATGTATATAAAGGATTTGAATTGCTTAACAGGTTTCCTGTGACTATTTCTAGACAAAATTTTATGTTTTCCTAACAGGAGTTAACAAGCATGTCATTCGCTGGCTTGATAAGGTCAGCACCCCGCTGACTGTATGCCACTGCTGGTCCACCCCCGGACCACTAAAGAAAGAAATGAACGAAAAATAAGTAAAATGGACTGTGAGTGGAAAACGAGGGAAGAAAAGTGACATTTTGTCTAATACTTTGCTTAACCACCAGTGGGCCGACCAGCAAACAGCAAGCAAAAAGCCAGAGGGCCACCGGCTTTGCCGTCAGTAGGCCAACAGTGGCCCAGTGTTCTCGTGCTGTATGGTGGTCTCTAATAGTAACCTTTAAGCCATTTTGCTGACTAATTCTCATTTGTCAGTAAAACCATTTTAATTCTAATGGCTTGAATGGGTCAATTTCAGCAGAGAACACTCACCTGGAACTGTGATTGCTCAATGCACACAACACTGTGATTGGTTAGAGGGCTCTACTGAAGCCTACTCTGCGACATCATTATTGAAAAGGCAAATATCGCGATAAAACGTTTAACAGGTGATATATTGCGCGGCCCAATGCCCCTCGCGCTCAGCTCTTCCCATCAATGAAAGCTCTAATCACCATGTTGCGCACGTGCCGTCTCGTTTCTATGACAACAGCACCGTTCTACGCAGACCACGCCCTCCGCTTGGCCCGCGAGCGCGTTCTCCTTCACTTTTCCGCGTTTTGTCCATAAACGTCCATAACCGTGCCCCCGTGTGGGCGCGAGCGGTCAGCAATCACCTCGGCCGTTATGAGTGCACCTCTGCGGGCCGGTAATGAGCCGCTGCCCCGCCTCAGGCCCGCGGCAGGTAGCTGAAACGCCGGGCAGACCGAGGCTAGGAGACGGCGCCGGTTTATAGGGGTCTATTCGCGCACGAGCGATTTTACTAGAGCCAAACATAAAAGACGAAGCTGTGAGACAGATGCGGTCAGCTAATCCCGTTAAGCCGCAGCTCATAAACTCCGCAGTCTGCCGATCCGCGGCGCAGCGTGCACGAGGTTCCAGGAGCGGCGCGTGCTGCTGCTGCTGCCCCTGCTTACCTCATCTCTCCTCTGTCCGCCCGCTGGACTGCGCCACGCGCCGCTGCGGTCTTTTCTGCCTTTTCTGTCTCTTCTCCTCCACCTCACCGCCCCTGTGCGCCTCTCTGTTCCCCCTCAGCGCGCTCTCAGCAGCCGGCGCTGCTCACTCACTGCCTGGGATGAATGTGCAGATGCTGGAGAGGGACAAAAAAGAAAAACACCGCGACAGAACGAATCGTCCGCTCTTGTTCGAGACTGAAAAAGCTCCGCGCTGCACTGTCCGCCTTCCTCACGTCCATTTCACACTGACTGTATCCACTGTGCGTGTCTCAGACGCTTCGGCACGGAGACTGGGGGCTGCTGCTGCTGAGGGGCCATGTTTCCACTGGGTGAACCAGAGAGAGAGAGAGAGAGGGAGACAGAGGGGGGAGGTCCAGTGGCGCCCCCAGCAGCGCCTCTACAACCATGCCGGTTCTATTTGACCTTGCAATTCTCCCAAAACGAGAGCATTAATTACTTAAGCATTAATTAATCCCCCTCTCAAACGATGCGTGTCCGCCGTGGTCCGTATAAACCACACTTCTCAGAATAAGCATGCTGACCTGGGATCAGTTCACGCCTTTTATGTAGCACTGAATAGGATTGCGTGAACTGATGAGGCCTGCTTTCAGATCAGTTCTGGGGTAATAAGAACTAGTTAAAGTCAAAGCCTGCATTGCATGGCCTGTTGATGAAAACCTGGTTCCTATACATTTATAAAAGCTCTTTGTCAGTGCATCCATTAAGGGAGGTGAGGGGGCTCATCCGAATAATCTATGAACATGTGCAGGCATCTTGCACAGATGTCGCATACACGACTGTATACTTGTATATAACATGATCATGTGCACTAGCGGCAGTGTTTGTAGTATTTTGAAGATGGGCTGCACCGATATTTGTAATACAGACTTCATCTGCCAGCTACAGAGCTGCCAGCTATATTACTGCTGGTGATATGCCATATAAATAAAAATAATGCATGGCCACGCCTTATTAAACCATAGAAACAAGATCCTAATGTGTGGCCATGACTTAATTATCTCATTCCCATGCCTTACTAAGTCATGGCCATGGATTAGGATCTCGTTCCCACGGCCTTGCTAAGTCGTGGCCATGCATTAGGATCTCGTTCCCATGCCTTACTAAGTCATGGCCATGCATTAGTATCTTGTTCCCATGCCTTACTAAGTCTTATTTATACAGGATGTCACCAGTGGGGCTCCATAGCCAACCAGTCCTTGAACTGGTATTGATATTGCACTGGTTCTGGTTGGGGTAGATTATTGTTTGGGCCTCGTCCCACCCCCAGTGCTACTGCATAGCCCATCTGTATCTGCATCATGTACAGCTCAGCAGATTCACACAACAGTAGTTGTATATTTTGGAGGTGTGCACATTGTGGCCTCCGTGAGCTATGCTTACCCATGAACCCCTTTTCTGCACTGTGCATCTTTGCAGACATATTAATTAGTCTTAAGAAAATACCACAGCTGTTCAAGCTTTATACCACCTGACAACCTACTGCCTCCTTGAGTAAGTAAATTGACCAATCAAGATGAAGATGCAAATTAAGCAATGCCATTCACGTCTGTCAAAAAATCAAGCAAAGTAAAATTTGCCTAGCTGTGCACTAATAATCAGTCAGTTACAGTAACTTTAGATACGTAACATAATTTTACAAACTTACTACTAAAGTGTGTGTTGGCGTCATACAAACTTCCCTGTAAGCTAACTGTGATTTCGAAATATTTGTAATTTTGGAAATTATTTTATAAGCTATCATTTGAACAACAAATGGAAATGGCTCCTCATGAACACAAGACTCCACATTAGAGCAAGTAAAATGACAGTGTAAACCAAGAGCAACGTACAAAACTATACAAAGCAAAACTTGGTACTAACATTGTAAATACCATAGGGGAGATTACAGATTATAGCAACGGTAATTTGATGAAAAAATAGCTGCTTCTGAAGTGAAATGAAAAGTTTATGCATTAAACATTGTTATATATTGATATGCATGGCTAGAATACACTCCGAATTAGGTTAAATTACGTGTTTGTTCACTTCATTTATGCATCAGCCTCTTTGTAAAATTTCCTCAACGTCCACTACTGCTTGTTATTCAGTTAATTAAGACTTATTAAGAGTTATTATTTAGTAGAAATTATAAATGAATCTGTAACCACTGTAAAGTTTATGTAGTTAGCAGAGCGAGCTGAGGTGTGGGCCCACATACAAAACCTTGGAGCTTGAGACATTAAAGTATTGCCACACTATACTGGAATTTACAGAGGAAAAGGTATTGCTAGCAAGATAAATGTGAGGATAATCTCTTTCAGAAGAAGCAGATAAAGATTTTAATCAGGATTTTGGTCCTTTGTAATGCTGGAAATGATTGAATTTGGTTCATAGCCCACATTGTGTTTTGCTTGTTAGGCTAAATAAACCCTTGTGCAGGTCTACATGTAGGAACATCTCTGTGTCCACAATAGCTAACTGTAGGCCCATTTAGAAGCATAATGAGGCCAGCAGATGACAGCCACAAGTAGAACAGACTCATAACATCCTCTGAGCCACATTTATCCCATCATGTCACCAAAATACTGAGAAAACATTTGCAAATTTGAATGATAGTCATAAAGTAATGACTAATATTTTTGTTGTATGGTGTGAAGTGTGTCATATGTCTTGCAGTAAGTTCTGAATAACCTACTTGAACAGACTGTTTGTGTAAAATCTGGAGCAAGTGATTATACTTTATGTCCTCCTTAATGTGGGGAATGCATTATGTGCATGATGTGAACCTGATATGTACAAAGATCTGAGCATGAAAAAACAATACTTCACTATCCTAAATAAACCATATATCTCTTTACAAGGGAATGTAAAAACTGAAATTAATGTGTTTAATGTAAGTTAATGCAACAAGATTTTTAAGTAATTAATTTTGTGCCATTTCTATAAATCAATTCATCATGAAATGTCCACACAGCAACGTAAAATAGAAACAGAGCCTTAAAAAGCAATTCATGGAAAAGTATTTTTTTTTGAGACATGCCGACAGCATAGAAGTGGCATCAAATTAAAGCACCCTCATAAAATACAAGCTTAGAAGTGAGAAAGCAAAGAGAAAACAGTTGATGAGGTGTGTCAAAGAAAAGAAATATGGGTGAACAAGGACGCCCAAGCGCTTACAGTCTAAAAACTAACCTATGTATAAATTAAAATACTTCCAACAAAATTCTCTATTGTTTTTCTTCCAACAAAAACTGAATAACAAATATACATAATTCATAAACAATCAGCAAACAACTATTTTACAACTTATCTTACCAAAGGTTAAGAGTTGCCTTCACTAGTGCAGTGCTCACCCACCCTGCTTCTGGAGATCTCCTGGAGATCATTAATTAGCTGAATGGGGTGTGTTAGGTTTGGTTTGAAGGTGAAACCTGCATGACGGTAGATGGGGGGGATGGTGACCACTGCTCTAGTGTATGCACTAACAGCCTTCAGTAACAGATCTGAAAGTACTGATTGGGTGATTTGATTGGGCTCTTGTAGGTGGGGGTGTTAGTGGGGGAGAAGGGGCTTTGACATGGGCTCTTCTGCTGGGGGACAGCAGAGCTTTTTCCAGCTCCTGCTTTGGTCTTCTCTGGGGCTGCTTTATCCAGAGGTGGTCCACTGGCAGGTGGGATACGCACTGGGCTGCATAGCTGTGGCCACTGCTGTTTTAGTAGACCCAGTCCTTTTTGGTAGGGGGCTCAGATAAATCTGCATAGTCACTAAGTGAAGGGGGAGCATGATGATGGGGTGCAGGCCGGGAGGGGTGGAGAGGTGAGGAGCAAGGATGAAGGAGTCGGATTAGAAGATGGGGTCAATAGGGATGGATACAAAACAAAGAAACAAAAAAGACTTATAAGATTTTTTTTTTATGATGATTGTTTATATTGCAGAATATTTAATTAATAACAATATTAAACGAATAACTCAATAGCCTAATAGATAAATAAATCACAAGGTGGCATAACGCCTACCTTTGCAGTGTGTCACACGTCGTGTTCCTAAAAACAAAAAAGATGACAGCATTTTATAGCATAAACATTAGTATTAGCAAGAACAGTTAATTCTATACGGCCAACTCTGTCTGTAAACAGTATTACACAATGTTCCAGCTAAAGGAGAGGAAACAAACATTACTAGAACATTACTAGCCTTATGTTCTCTTACCTATAACACTGCCACTGGCCTCCTTTGGCTTGCTGCTTGTTGAACGTAAACAAATAATGCCAACATGATGTTCAGTATTCATGTATTTTCAGTACGAAATTAAAGGAATAATTCAGTGTTTTTCAACCTAAGCCTTATGTACTGCATATGTAGTATAATATTAATTATCATGGGCAACAATTTCTCTGTGCTTGGAAAAGAACAACAATAAAGCCCAACTGGAAACTGTGTCAGCATCTGCCCAATGGCTTTATTATGGTTCTTTTGAATTGCTGTGTTTTCTGTTCTTTTACTAATGCATTGAGGGAAGGGTGACCAATCAGTCAGCCATCATCAATAAAGCATCAATTATCCTTTATGGCGAAAATCTGCTAACAGGTAGTTATCAACCAGTTATATGAGTCTGATGACGTTGTAATGTGTAATATTTGGTAATTTGCTCAGCAAACAGGCAAGTGAATGTGCACTGGATCCAATACATATACATAAATTGAGCTGACTATCAAAAATTAGTCAGCTATTATCATTTATCATGCTAACTAATCACTTTGTACAGGTGAATACATGCAAGTATTGTTTGTTACCTTATACACTGCTGTCTGTCTAGCATTATACTAATGTAATAACTTCTATGGCATATGTCTATATGATGTTTTCTCAATGTTAGGCACTGAAAAAAGTAATGGTTTTAATGTACTTGATTCAAATACACCATTTCTTAATGAATTACTAAAATAAATCAAGTGTTGTCTTTCAGTTTTCTTTTGGTAATAGTATTAATATACCTTTTTGTTCATATAGAAATAATGGACAGATATCTTTATGTACAGAGAAAAACCAGCATATCAATTTATAGGTCAGCTTCGAGTCAGTGTGCCACCCCAATAAAGTATCTGGCTCTTGCCTGGCCTCCCCATTCTAAAAGTTCTAGCTACACCCCTGGGAAAACGTTTGATATCATTTTCTAAGGTAATCGACTGAATGCGATCATCAACGACGTCTTCAGCTTTTGTGAGCAGCCTGACCTGTCTTGCTGTTTCCTACAGATGGTTGTTGTGGTAGGTACAGGAGTGCGCCTGCTTGGACCACTCGGACTGTCTTTCACACTGCCTGCTGGACTTCTGATAAGAAAGAAGAACAAATCATCCCACTCAGTTAATAAAACTGTATGAAAGATGCACTCATTTGAAATACATCAACTCAGTGAAAACTGTAAAAGGGGCTGTGGGAAAAAGACAGAACATGTCAAAGTTCATTACTAATAAGTTGCACCTTTTGCTGCCTGGTGATGGGCTGTAGTTTCTTGAGGATGCAGTAGAGGGCAGTGTGGAGCTGGAGCTCTTCTTCAGTGGTGAAGCTGTATTGCTGGCTGATTTGGAGGGCAGGGCCAGAGAGACAGGCCTGGCTGCTGGAGAAAAAGAATGCAGTACCAGATCAGAGCTCATGGTTTAATAATATAAAGTTCTTAAATACCTAGAGGGACAATATCCAGGACAGTTTGGTGATTTTCCTGCTCAAACACACTCATTAAACCTGGTGACTAACAGATGAGTTGAATCAGGTGTGTTTGAGCAGGTAAGTCACCAAACTGCTGCAGTCTGGCCCTCTAGGACCAGAACTGAGGACCCCTGATATAAAGCCAGATGATCTTTATCTCAACACAGTATACTGTCACGGTCATAACAAAACATTTCATCTCCAAAGTGGTATTTCATAGGAGAAGGTCAGTTAATTAATTAACGTCCATATCCGATTTTTTTTATTTCCTATGGTCCTTGAGTTTTCTGAACTTTCCTGGCCACAATTGTTTCACATTGATAAAATACAAAGGGCACATGGGACTACTGATTTTTAACGAAATAATATAAGAGCATGAAGATTGAGCACTGTTACTACTGGTGCTAATTAGATATACTGTCATATGCAACAGTTTGGGGGTCCTTGGACAAGATTTTGTTGATAAGTACCCATTCTCTATAGAAAATACATACTTATTTATCAAGAAAATGACTGTTTATTTGCTGAATTTAGTACTTTATGTTTTATTTTTTCCTAATAAGTTAAACTCACTAAATAATTTGAAATTGGGAATGAAAAAAGCTTAAAATGCCATGTTTAGTTTTGTTCTCTGTAGGGAATGTTTACCTATTTCCAATTAGAAATTTGACAGTACATGAAATTTGAGTGTATAACAAAACAAAATGTCATCACTTTAGACCAATCAGAACAGGTTCTGTGGCATTTTTCTTGGCTTTTAGTGGTCAGACTGAGTTTAAGTTAAAGCAGTAATAGAGATAATGAATGGTAGTGCTGTAAGCTGGTAGGCGGCAGTTTGTGCACCTTAATTAAATTCAAGGGTTAAGAGTTTCTGGATGCTGTGTCATCTGGTGCGCAGTTACATTAAGTACTGGTTTTGCTGATTTTTATAAAGGACACTAACTCTTTCTATGCTTACTAAATGAGGTGTAATTGGTCCACCACAGTCAGGAAGGAACTCAGTTGTGTCATGTTGAGTTATGCTGATTTTATGGATTTTAACCACATTCACTGGGCCTATGACCACCTGTAATTTGGCTTATTTTCATCTGTCCTTTCAGTGTAAATGGAAAAATGTTTTGACATACATGGTTTTGTATATATGAATATTTAGTCAAATTTTATGCAACACTGATCTGTCTTATCTGTGAACTCAGCTTCCAGCCAAAGGGGACGTAGTTAGTGAAATGTGTTGTGAGGCAGCGTTACTGTGTGTATATGCGGTACCTTTAGCAGGCCCTCTCTTAGTCAGTGCAGCAGTTTGTTCCTCTGAGATGTTGAGTCTCTTGAGCACATCTGCCAGTGCCATCTTCAGCAGCTGGATCTCGTCCTCCTGCATCTGGATGCGCTGCTCCAGGTATGTAAGCCGGTCAGCCACCTCCATACTGCTGTGTGCTGAGACATGGTCATCTGTCATGCACAGAGGAAAATGATGCTTATGATGAACACTTCCAGACTGAAAACCTAACAATCTCTCTGAGCATGTTGAGAAGAGAGGGTCAATAGAGAGGAATAAAAAACAAAAGAACAAAAAAGGTGTAGACAAGAATTAATATCAATGTTTCATGCAAATGTGGTAAACTTGTAATACACATTAAGGAATTAAAAGGCCCTACAATTTCAGAAATAGCTGTTCTTTTCAGATTACAAATGCTGTCACTGTGGTGGTCCCCTCAGGGGTACCTTCTCAAGACCTTTAGTTACGGAACATATAGTGACATGCAAAGGTTTGAATACCGCCAGTAAAACTACACATTTTGTTGATTTTCTAACTAAACATAAATTAACACATCCTCTACAGAGAACACATTTAAAAATTACATTTACTTAAAATTTTATTGCATAATTTCTATGTATTTGAGATGTTTGACATATTGGAAAATAAATAAAACAAAATAAAACATAGTATATAAAATGTGCTATAACCTTTCCCAAGCTGTTAAATTCCCCAAATAAACAGTTATTGTGCAGTAAAATATGCAGAAGTCTGCTTTCTGTGGAGGATGTGTTCATTTATTTTCACTTAGAAAATCAATATAACAATTAATTTTACCAGGGATGCCCAAACGTCTGTGTAAAACTTATTAAGTTTTAAGTTGTATTAACTCCCTACACCCTGCCTCAGGCCTTCCATTATATTATCTAGTTAAAATTAAAATAAAACACATTACGGTACTGAAGGAAAAAATGTTAGATCCATGTTTACTTCTACAAGCACAACCTTTATTAATAAAGCTGAATATGTGCTAATGAAAAAGTAGCCCGACCTGGAGAGAGAATTTCAACTCACTAGTTATCACTCTCACTGAAACAGATTTAACATACAAATAGACTGTCTGATAATCTGGCAGTGCAGAGCATTCTAGGGCCTGATAGTAGTAGTTTCAGTTATCTAACATAACAAAATGTAGTTCTACAGAGATTAGATGATTATTCGAGTCTGCTGTTTCCTTCATCTCTTTCTCCAACAGCAAATCCAACAGCAGGCCTCAGCTACCTCGAGAGGACCCATATGGAGATTGGGATTAAAATAGCGCTTAATCCCAGGGTGGTAAAAGAGAATTAGCAAGACTCATCCTGTTGGAGCAAAAATATAGTCTTGACTCTGTTGACTGTTGTCTGTTCACTTCACTTATGTAACTTTCGCAGACCAAAAAAAGGTGACAGAACAGCAGTGAAGCAAATGTGCTGGACCAAACGGTGATCAAGTTATGTTACATTTGTCATCAGATGCCAAAGCAATAAAAGGAAACAGCAAGATTTTTCCAAGTGACTGAACTCATTTATACATTATACATTTAACTTCACCAGCAGTCGACACAGTGTAAGAAAATACACCGATGTCCGACCAGTCATGTAACAGCCACACTTTTATGATACCTAAGGACAAACTTAAAAGTATCATACAACTATGTGCAACACAATAAGTTGGAATTCTCGCCTGTCTGAAACTGCTGAGGTATACAATAAAAAGATTTCAAACTTAAACTTAAGGATTATCTGATGGCAAAGTATTGTGGTACAGTTAGTAATAAAAATGAGTGTAGTAAAACATGGTGGTAATACCATAACATATTATTTTACCAGAAATTTAGAAGCTTAATTTTTTTTTTTTCTATTTATTTTGTTTTATTTGTATTTATCTTGTGAAACAGTGTCCAGTTTTTTTATCCAGGCAGATAAGCTTTTGCTTGCACAACACCTTGTGGAGCTTAATCAAATAAATAAATAAGCAAATAATTACTACCTTGGGGATTCCAATTTTAGTATAACTTTAATAATAGAGGATTTTTATATTTTGTTTTTGGATTTTGTAGTTATATATGCTAACAGTTCTATAGATTTGATTACATGCAGTTATAAATCATTGACCAGGCTGTTTTTCTCTTAATTAAATTTGCCAAAAATCATAAGAATGAGCTTCTCTTTTAGAATTCTTAGAAATTCTGCAGGACTGTTTTGTCTTAAAGGACTCTCTCAGTGTAAAATTTGGCTTTAAGACAGCGATTCTAAAACCAGTGCATGGGGCCCTTCAGATGGTCCATATTTTTGCTCTATCCATACATAGTGGGAGATAAAATTAAGCAAAAACATGGGGTGTGTGGGGGCAGTTTGAGACCCAAAAGGTTTAAGCAAAAGTTACTGTTTCTCATTACCAGCTATAACCTAAACCACTCGATGTAGTGAACAGTCATTTCAGTCTAATTTTGAAAGCTGCTTTTACACACTTAAATCAAGCTTAGTCATTGAAAGAATGGAAGACACTGACCTACTATGAAGTCTGCTTCAGGTGCTAGAAGGGCATCACCATGGTACGGCTCTCTCAGCCCTGCACCTTCCGCCTCAACAGCCATGGATCCAGAGCGCTCCACCAGCTCCTCCATGTGAGCATCTGCTACTGCCACTGCCATGCCTTCCTCCATGTGAGAGAACGTCTGCTGTGTGTGTGTGAGAGAGTGTAAGGATTTCCTGTGTGTGTATGTAAGTGCAGGACAGTCTAGTGGGCCACACAAGTGCACACTCTTCTTCTCTTCTGTGACCTTCTTAATCCTCAGGGACACATAGACCCATACACACATCTTGAGATGGGTGATGTCATTACTCCCAGATTACTGGCTCTGGTAAGCCATCTCAAGTCCTCAGCCAAGGGTGGAGGTGAGGGGTATACATGCATGTGCTGGGTGCTGACAGAGACGTGTATACTAAAGAGTACATAGTTTGGTCAGTGAGTTTGCTCATCAACAAAGGTTTAATCTACGCACTGGCAAAGGCCTTATGTGAACAAACACATTTCAACTAAGCACAAAAGTATTGCATCAGAGCAAGAGTAGGTCAAAGTTATTCTGAGATAATTCTAAATCCATCTAATATATTCTTCATACATTAAAACAAGGGAATCTTAAAACGGGATCCCGTTTCAATATTTTTTAACATGTCCTTGCCAGCTTTGACTCTACATTACACAAGTGGCTACTCACAATACACAGGGAGGAGACAGTGAGGAGCAGATTATTCAATCAGTACACACTTGTCCTCGGTTAGGTTAGCCTCAGTGTGCTAATCAGATAGCCATGCAAACTTTGTAATGCAAAACATTTTTGAGAAGTTTGAACATCCATCCATCATCTAAACCGCTTATCCTTCTGGGTCGCGGTGGGGTGCTGGAGCCTATCCCAGCTGTCATTGGGCGGAAGGCAGGATACACCCTGGACAGGTCGCCAGTCCATCGCAGGGCAGACAAACAGACATATACATCCACACACACACTCACACCTAGGGGCAATTTAGCACGTCCAATTGACCTGACTGCATGTTTTTGGACTGTGGGAGGAAACCGGAGTACCCGGAGGAAACCCACGCAGACACGGGGAGAACATGCAAACTCCACACAGAAACGACCCTGGTCACCCAGCCGGGAATCGAACCCAGGCCATTCTTGCTGTGAGGCGACAGCGCTACCCACTGCGCCACCGTGCCGCCCAAGTTTGAACATACTATAAATAAAACGTGTGAATAATTGCTTTGTTTGGATATTAGCTAAGGTTCAAAACTCTGGTGTATCACACTTGTTTTTACTGTTGTTAGCCATGTAACCTTTAGCATGCTAACAAGCCATCTAGCAGAGTAAAGTGACAAAGCTGTATCAGTCATGTACAACACAGAGTGGTTTGCAACCAGCCCAGCATCTCGGATGTTATTGATTTGAAATACTATACAAACAGCTCTGTCTGACATTTTGGGTTTGAAAAGAGAAATGCGTCAGGTTCCAATCATTTCTGGGCAAGTTCTGCTGGACACCTGTGTTCACTTTATCCGTCATTCCTCTGAGGGCTCATCTATTAAACTTCTCAAATGCTAACAAAGTAATGGAATGGCTCTTAAGATGGTGTCGGGGATTGTGAAGGGCAGGAAAAAAACAGTATTGAAACTGGCGGAATGTCTTCTCAATCTGCTCAAACCAGAGTAAGAAATGAATTTTTAAGAGCTAATCTTTGTTCTCATTGACTGAAATGAGTCTTTTTCATTCTTGTGTAAACATCTGGGTTAGGGTCATATTCTCTGGCCAAATTCTGTGTTTTAATGATTTTCTAATGTAACACATCCTCTGTGGAGAACACGTCTGCACATTATAATGCACAATTATTGCTGGTTGTTGAATTTAACCTATTGGGGAAAAATGAACATAAATTGTGGCCTGTATAAAAGTTATGGCACATTTTATATTTAATTTTATTTTAGCAAATAAATAGAAATGGTGCTCTTAGAATTGTGTTCTTGTGTTCTTAGAAAATCAACAGAACATGTAATTTGACCGGGTTGTATTCAAACTTTTGCATACTATTGTATATACCCTGTGCGTCAAACACAAGGCCCGTGGGCCGAGTCAGGCCCGTGACATGGTCCTATTCGGCCTGCGAAATATTTTTTTTTAAAAATACCTAATATATTTTTTTTTTTCAGAATTCTTTTTGAATAAGTATTCAATGCCTATTTTGCTGTTGCAGTTTTGGCCTACGGTTTTGCTGAGACCTTTTAATATGACCATTTTAGTGGTTGAGTATATACAAATTGGGAAATACACAAAATGTTATTTTAACTCAGATGTTGAATTTAACAGTGTATGCATGTAACATGCACAGACCTCAAAGTACTGTCAAAATGCAATCTTTAAGTTCATGCACAGATTGAGTGTTATCAGATCAACTTCAAGGCAAAGAGACTGTGGATGGAAGCAAATAGTTGGCTTTGTGTTGTGTTGGTTTTATAAGTGACACTGATTCATTGAATTATTACATTTCAAAGTTAATTAATGTTGATTTATTACATTCATAACACTTTGCTTGTGTTTTACAGGGAAAAATTTGTTGAACAGTCACTTTTTACCCTTTGGCCCTGATTATTTCTGATGCTGCTCTAAACTGTATCTGTAACCCAAAATTGCTCAGTAACACCCTGTAATAACATTCTGCTTATGCACACCAAAGGATGATTAGGTGGCAAACCTGCTTAGGAGAATTCATTAAAACCTCAGTAAGCCCTGGAAGTTAATTGCCTCTGGGCCAGACAGCATGGGGGCAGGATAGATGAGAGCATGATGAAGTAATGGTATCCCCAGTAAGCTCTCATTCTGTTTATTTTGCACTCGTATGGATTGGTGCATAAAACAGATGTTCCACACCATCTCCATCTACACTGGAAAGAAGTGATGCATCGAGTTAATTTAATTCAAATGTGTACATCATTTCCACATGAATGAAATATATTAACAGAAACACAGTTTTGTCTTTCAGGTTATGTACACCTATTTTTAGCAATCACAGTAAGATGTTAATATATTTTATTCATGTGGAAATGAAGTACACATTTGAAGCAATTCATCTCTTTCTTAGTGCCTCCATGTCTTGTCATCACACCCTAGACAAAGCTCCACGTGCTCTGAGACACTGTGATCACAGTTCTTGAGATAATTATTAACCTGAGGTGTTCAGCTCAGCTGCGTGACTATCATCACTCTTATCCAGCTTCTGAAAACAGCCCGAACTGAATAGTGACTCGTTTCAGTGTGGATAGAAAATGATTCAGATATTAGGGGTAGGAGAAAAAATACAGTAGAATATTGCAATAATTTGATTTTAAAAATAGGCCCAAATATCGATATTTTATTATTTAATTAGAAACATTTTAACGTGTATTAAGAAGCCATAGAAAACCTAATTTTATTTGCTTTTTTAAACAAAAACTTTAGATGTAGTATGTAAACACTGTTAAATTTTCAAGACATGCTACTCACTCCCATACAGTCCACAAATAAAACAAAGCTGTATTAATATAACATCTAAGCATTGATATTTCTTAATTGATGTTTCCCAACTATGCTAAAGTTATAAGGATTGTTTTAACTTGAAAGGGCATAATACAAAGAAGCCAATCAGAACAGAGATCATTTACACGTATACGTCTTAAAGGCACAGTGACAAAAAAGCCCGTTTAGTTCTAAGGGATGAAGAGGTTGGTAAATGCTCACACAGAAAGGAATTATGACTGTTTTTGGTACATAAACACACACAAGTGTCATAAGTTGACCTCAGGAAAAAAAGTGAGGTATGGCCTTTTAAACACATTGTTAAACTCATAAACTGCATTTCTACATTTATCCACAAGATGGTGCTGTTCCTTTCTGGTGAGACCAAGGCTTCTGTCAGGCATTATTATGAAGAGTCAGACTGTGTAGTGGATAACTCCAAGCATTGGGACAGGAATCAGATACACTACTATAATACACCAATAAAAGTCGCTGGATGAGACTTTTAACACTTCATTCCTCTTTATAAAGGAATATGTAAAGATAAAGCACATTCTGAGATGAACACGGTGTTAATGTGTTAACTTTATTAGATAAAGTTTTCTTTTGGAGGAATAATGTGTGTATGTATGTATATGTAATAAATTGTGATACATTGCAATATTTCAAATATTGCAAAACATCAGAAATTTTTAAATACGTCAACAGTATCATTCTCTGGCTCAAGTATTTTGATATAACCATACTGGAGGGTCTGCAGTGATTCCCTCCCCTAGTTAATATGCTTTGGACTTCACCTGAATACATTGATCTGTTTTAAATGGTAAACAATTTTGACTTTCAGTACATTCATATGCTTTTCTGATAAATACTGTTTTAAGTAATTCTATCCCATCTGTACATCTTGACACACTTCCCTGCTAAGAGCCTCCCACCATGAGACATTCAACACTGCTGTCTGGCCACAGCTCCACACTACTAATAACTTCAAAGAGGATCAGAGAGCCCAAAGCTGAATCCACCTATAGGAGTAAGAGACACAGACAAGGACAACAGGCTTTGCTGGAGCACGAGACAAACATCTACTGCAGCTTTCAGACTGAGCAAAAAGAAGATACAGCTCACAAGGAGAATCCTGCCCACACTAAGGAGCACACACTAACCAATAAAGTGACAATGCATCAGCCATATGTACGAAACACAACCACTGATTGAGATCAGTGCTCACATATAGAGAGTACTCCAAAGGCACAGTATATCACTTATCAAGACTACATTCTGTATGTCCAAAGTGTTTTACTCAACGTTTGCAACAGATGCACAAATAAACGTGAATATACACATGGCCAAAAATTCCCATCACCCACAAAAAAGGGCACAACCAAAACAAAGAAAACAATAAGGATCTGGAGAACAAATCTGAGTATTATTACGTCCAATTAATTTGTAGAATTCCTGACAAGCATTTAAAGGGCCCAATGCCTACATCTACATCTTCACTTAGATCACTAAGAACATCGCTGTGATTTAATGTACTAAAAACAGTCATAAATCATTTTTACATGACCATTTTGCAACCTCTCAACCTTCATCCTTTAGAATGACAGAATAAAAGAAAGTGGTTCCAGCAGTAGATTTTTTGGATGTATGTTTACATTTTTAGCATAAATAGTTAGTAAAAATGTCATAACACATTTTCACACACAAAATGGTTGCTAAGTGTAATCAGATCATGCAATTTATGAAGCATATTTTGCGTTTAAAAAAGTTCTGTCTTAAATGCACAATAAAAGGTACTGAATTACAAATTAATACAACTTTTTTATTATAGCTACACTGTATAAATGCTCATCAAAATGTTATATTGTTAAATGAATATTTAGATGTCTTTACCACAATGCCGACCAAATAACCTACAATTATTATTTTTCTCCAGTGAGACAAACCTATTTTGATGAAAGTGTTAGCCAAAGAGCAGAGAAAAGTGCAGGAAATCTAATCTGGGTGTCTCTTGATTTACACAGAAAAGTGAAATAAATAAAATCTTTTCTTATTCAATATTTTCTGAACGTCTTTACTGTACAGCTTGTTATATATTTGTAATTAGACTTTCATTTCATTAAAAAACTATTTTATATTAGAAGTTGTCTGCCAAAGCTAATGTAACAGACCATACAATTTGCCATTCATGCTAACAAAAAAAAAACAAAAAAAAAAACTTTATATTTCCTCACCACAACCCTGTTTTCTATGATATGGGCCTAGACTCCAGTCTAGATCAACTGCTGACATCTGCTGGTTAAAGCTGGTGCATACTGCAGTGCATCCTTCTTAAAAATGACTAGATCTCATGTTTTATGGTGTCTGTGGAACACATGAATGTGATCTAATTTGCCCATAACTTCATAAGTAACAAGAAAAGAAAGAAACACTATTTATCTACTTGTACACTGTAGAGCAGAAAAGAGGCAATAAAAACACTTCAGACTGGTTTTAACAAAAGAATGTTTTATAAATACTCTTTCAATTGAACAATAATCAGCAGGGATTCTTGTTGTCATTAAAACAAAACAAACAAAAAAACAAAAAAAAAAACAGAGTGCATGACAAAGCGACAGAAACAAAAACATACCCCCCCCCATCCCCATTCAAAAATAACTTTTTATTCATTCTCCCACTCTATCAAAATATATGTTAGCAATAAGCACTAACCTAATAACACAGAGAGCAAAGAAATGGAATTCTTAGTATTGGTCAAGATAGGGAAATCCAAAAAAACAAAAACAAAAACCCAAAACATCTCTTGATTTTGGTCATTGTGGTTACGGTTTAAAAAGGAATTCTGAAACATACAGAACCACAGCTACAATTCTTCACCGCAGAGAAGCGGTCAAGCTCCATGATACAGAGGGATTCCATGTCCTTAAGTGTTTATACAGCCATTCAACATGTAACCAGCCACTTTGGCTCCCAATAAACTTGATTCTTCATGAAAAATCTGTCTAAAGATTAGATATATGATATTTGCCAAAGACTTAGATCAAGCTCCCCTCATAACCGGGTCAGTTAACCACCCTCCGGAAATGGACGCGTGGGCTTTCCATGAGGAGCCATTTAGCTCTGAAGGTCTTCCAAGCACATGCTGGTAATACAGTGTTCAAGAAGCCTCAGAGACGACTCTGTAGCGATCAACCAATATCGTATAAAACAACTTTTAGAAATATAGAAATTAAAGACAGCAGACTCGGTTTGTCATCACCTGCTGTTCTTGGTCAAATATGTACTCAGAATACAGTTTACATAGCTGTCCTACCATGTACTAGATCAATTAAGTGATATTTGGCTTGTTTCCTGCAAACCAAACCAAAACGACTTACAGTGAATGGGAAAAGGCCACATGTAAATGTACATTTATGATACTATGAAACTGATTCACAGCAACTGATAATTCAAGTACCTCTATCTGACTAAGGTCTGGTGACAGAAGTCGCTCTGCAATGACAGCAGCAGGACTGTACAGTTCCGAGTTGCTGAGGCTGCCCCACATATATGCAATATACACACAAAAGGGGCACCAGTAGAAGAGTGTGCTTTGGTCTTTACCCCTTGATGCCAACTCCAAGTCTCCATAAATACAACTGTAACTTTAAGTTATTTAACTGAAGACTTCATAACTTAAATAAAAAGCAAATCAATCCTCAACAATTAAAAAAAAAAATCTATGGCGCTCGTTGACCACAAATATTGCAACAGCACTTGAAAACACTTTTCGACTAAGATGACTTGTTATTTGAAATATAGATAGATCATCTATATAGTTTGTATACTCAAATGTTAAATAACTTCTTTAAATATAGTTACATGTCTCATAAGTACTAAAAACATATTGTGCAACATTTTATCTCATTTGAAAGATGGTCTGGCGATTCTTCAATAATTAATCTATGTACATATCACTCTTTTTTCCCCATTGATGGCTCTCATGTACTCCACCTTTGGATTCTAAACTAATAAAATTATAAAATTAAACACTGTCTGTGTTTCAGCTCATGTCTATTTGGTTACTATTATTTTCAATTTATGATCCACATCAAAACAATTTGTAATTAGTTAAAACAATATAAGGACTTTGATTTAAATAGAATCCTCAAAAATAGTCCCAAAAATATATTGCATATTCTACCTTTAGAAATAGACTTAATAAAATATCTCATGTTTCCAGGACAAATTGAAAAACAGAGAAACACTTTTGTTTACAAATATGGGATCAAAAACTTTTCATTTAAACCACAATATTATTAATAGAATCTTTTTTTAGAAGACCTGCTGATCAAGGTATAATTGCAGCAACATCTATGCCAATGATGCAATGGAATGAAACGAGTTCTGGGTTTTCTGCATACATTAAAAAACATACACTTATATATACTATATATAGTACTGTTGGAAAGCCATCTAAACTACCTTTACGAGGAAATTCTAGTACCACTGTACATCATTTCAACATCTGAATAATTAATATATAAGCATGGATATGGTTTACAGTTAGTGGTTTAAGAAAACAGAAAGCCTATTCTAGAGCATTCCTGATCTTATTTAGATTTCAGGCATGGAAAATGATTTCAAATAGCCGGGAGCTTTGCTATGAATGCTGGGTACACACATACAGAAGGTGCAATATTTACTAAAGGAGAGCTGATTATTATTCTTTCATTCAGTGCTTGGAGGATTGTTAGAAAAACTCATTAGGCTTTTATCTCAGAGCACAGGCTCTGATTCAATCAACACAATTTGTGATATTTATATATTCATTAGAATGCAAGGATCAATATGCATTTACTTTAGCTGATAAAGGAGGCTGTTTGAAGGGTGTCAATTTGGCTGCCCGTTAGCTCAAGCCAAACAATAATAAAATAACCAGCAAATCTGGAACATAAGAGAGCCATAGAGGATTTAAATGCATAGACTTGAAAAATGAGCTTATCATGTATTGCAGATCCTCCATATGACTAGGACTGTACTAAGGACTATTTGTCCTTTGTGTGAGTGCTTTAGATAAAGGTTTTTACCAGCCATTAAAACTCTTGGTCTGGCATGTGATGCCACAACATGAGGCTGGACAGTTAAATGACTTAGTTTATATCTTTTCGAATCTCATTACTAACTGAAAGTTGAGGAAAGACTGGAGCATTACAAAGTAAATGTACTTAAAAGGGCATTCTGGCCCAAAATTAGCCATGAATATGTTGCTGTCATGTAGCCAACTAACAACAACAAAAAATTTCCAAATTCCAAAAATTTCCAACAGCCTGTACCAGCTCTTGTAGTTTTTCAAAAATTCCTCCCACCTTCAACATGCATCCCCAGAAGGGACTTTTCTAATCCTTGAACTGAAAAATCTCACTCAAGACTACTGTGGCACCTCTGTAGGAGGAAAGTAGGCATGTTTACAACAGATGTAGCATTAAACAAAGAGCAGTAGCCACGGAGCATCACAGAAATGTTACAAATTTTGAGACAACAGTTTAGCCATACATTTTCCATGCTTTGTGTAGACACTTTCAGAGTCTAAAGACTACTTGCACAACAAAGCCTTCTGCATGGTCATCTTATGTTGAGATTTGTTATTCGTCTACTTTTATTCTGCTCTACATAATACGAGTGCTTTAAGACACTATTCTTGCATGTTCCCTTCCTGATTAAACAGTGTTGATAGAATCAGAGCCATAGGCTAATATGTAAAGTAAGAAGAGCAGCAGAGCAAGAGAGATTAATAAAGGAAAAACAATAAAGCAAAAGAATGGATTAGTGCAATTTCACTAGGGTTTCTAGAAGCGAGGGAAAATGGGCACAGGCAGGATTTTGTCAAATAAATATTTAAAATATATTTGTTATATGTCTTGAGTGCCTCAATTCAATATATTATAAAACTTCTAAAAAAAACAAAACAACAACAAATGTGAATCACTTTTTCCAATCTATGGCATTAGAGAGCACAGGCAGATACTGCAGAAACTGGGGCTTTTAACTAGTGAGAATGGTGATTAACACTGTGCTGACCTTTGGTTTATTTTATTACAGAAGTGGCGTTCTTAGAGGACTGGGTCAAACTAGCTGCCTACAGAGCTACCTGCAAGTAATAAGGCAAGACACGGAGAAGAATGAACAGGGTGGACAACTCCATTGACTGATATTTCATTGTGGCTCTACTTCCTTCACCACTACATTAAATGGGAGAATAGTAGATCTCCACTCTCTTACAGAAGAAAATGAGGAACAGAAGATCCTCCACAAGCAAGAGTATGATTTGTCCACTTCCTCTTGTTCTTCCCAACAACAAAAAATATTCAAATCTAGACTCCACCAAATTGAAGCTTTACATTCTCCGAGATGAGCCTAGATTTGTCCCCCTTTAAGTCACACTTTGAATAAAAGGATTTTTTGATTATGTTCAGAATCTTCATCTCCCTTTGCCAGTGTCATAGTCCAGTGTACAAGACAAATCACTGAAGAGATAGACAAAAAAATTCACCTTCTATCCAAGATTAAAGAAAAACAAAATCAAATTAAGATGCAAAGCTGTTATTCTTGCTTTTCTATAGCGCTCACCCTAGATACTGCCACTTTTTCATGATTATGGGGGATGTTCCTTTAGTGGTTGACTACGCTCCTGACCTCAGTTTTCTTTTAAAGCAATTTAAAACCTCTCTTCCCAAAAATAAATTATAATGATTAGAACAAAACAGGCCAGTAGGTTTCACAGGGATCCTCTTAGTATGGAGGCTTTCCACCATGTGTGAGGCGCAAGCCTGCACCTTTACTGCGGGTTCTTCAGTATGCGGCCATAACGAAAGTCGTAGACATGGCGACACAGGTAAACCAGCTCAGGGTCAACATCATCGGGCACAAGTCGGTGAGAAGGGATGGCACTGTCGGAGGGGTGTGGCACCACTGGGGTGCTGTCAGGTACACCCTCTGATCGGCGCTTTACCAAGGCACAAAATCTAAAACACAGACAATAGACTGCTAAATACCCACATACAATTATCTCTGGAACAGGGTTAATGCTAGCAAATACCAGAATTTTAAATTCTAGTAAATATTAGTATTTGACAGGGTCAACACTCTGCAAGACACAATGTCTGGTGAAAAGAATTCATTCAAAATACCTAAAAACTTTTAAATGTAATCCTGTGGTGATGCCCCTCCTCTGCCATTATACAGAAGAAACCGTCCCCCTAGACTACCACCATGTAACGTAGGATGGAGCTAAATAGTGCTAAATTTCAAAATGTCTTTTATCACGAATGTTCAACTATATACTGATGGAAATAATGTCACTGTTTAACGTTAAGTATTTAAACATAGCCAGCAGTTAGGCTTTTATCATAAGTAAGTTAAAAGTCACAGAAAGTTTGCCCTCATTCGAACAGCTTGCAGACATTTACTTTATCTTATCATTAACAAGTGACAATGCATGTTTATACTGATCTGACGGTCACTGAAAACATTATCAATTGCAATGAAACAGAGAAATGTTGACTGACAAATTCTCTCAAGTTTGCTGTTCCAGTCACGGTGCACTGGTTAAAAACCACCTTTAAAGTGCTGGAGAAGACCTTTTTAGGGCAGAATCTGAGTACTCAAAACCTTAGATACATTTTACTGATAAGTTAACTATTTGTCCATCAAAATTAATCATTTCACAGTGAACAGCACCTCTAGAACTGATTCACAATCCTGCAGCAGACACTAGTAGGTTCTGTGAGATACAGGTACCACATTCACCCAATTCAGAACAATATCTTACCTACAGTACTGTGCTAACGGCAAAACATAGCATCTGTCTTCAATACAGGCCACACTGTTTTCATCTTGATGCCGAGAGGCAAATATTTCATTCTGAAAAAGTACAGAAAAAACAAAACAACAATGCTTAATTGGAGAGGCAAAAATCAAACTGTGGTCAGGATATAATCATGCTCTTTCAGAATGTTTTACATTTTTTTGTGCATTTAGCTCAACCTTTAGCAAAACTGTTGACCTGTGGTTACTGCTGAATTGGTGATTGACTGTTAGCTGGGAAAGACCAGGTAGGGCAACAAACAAATTTTATTCCAAGTTCAACATTTAAAAGAACCTGATTATCATTCAATTTCTTCATGAACTGTGGAAGGGAAAGTTGAGAATAAGGTGGCTATCGTACAATCAAAAAACCTTGCCTGTCATCTTCAGCCAAGAAATTTTCGGTGTTCAAATTTCACTTAGCACTGGAGCTACGAGGCTAACGTTGTTCAACAGTGGAAATCGACAGTCACCTAAATCTTTTCTGTAAACACATCCCCAAACCTTTTCTTCCCATCTTAGACAACACCTGTTAATAACCTTAATGAAGACCTAGACGTGGTTTGAGTGGATTGAGAGATGTATATCGACTCCTATAGACTCCTAGGTTTTTGTTAGGAACGTTAGCCTTGTAGCTCCAACACCAAAATAAAGAAGCAAAATTTGAATCCCAAAACATGTCTCGGCTGATCGACCACACCTGTGGTGAGAGGAAAACTGTCTAAATTGTTTTTTCATCTAACCATTCCTTGAAGACCAAGATGCATTTATTGTGAAGTATTTGAGAGCTGCTCATCAAGGCTGTTTGGTATGAGGGAATGTCTCACCTCACAGTGCATGCTGGGATCCCTGCCTCCCTGCGTGTGTTCAGGTCGATAGTACCAGAACAGACTCATCATCAGCTCTCCTGAGAGAGGAAAATGAAAAGGTCAGACGCAGCCACTGAAAATGCTTTATGAGATATTATTTATGAGATTAACATAAAATCTGGAACTGCAGGACTGGCAACAAAGTGAGGAATAAGTTCCTAAAATATTAATGCTTTGAGTGAATACAAAGACAACCTTCTGAAATAAAAACAGTGATACAAAGGCATGTGAACATGACACTGAAGTTAACAAAAATAACCAAGACGGCTTTCCAACACGCTAATTTGCATCTGGTTCCCACTAGTGGTATGACTATGTATTTGACTCGGCACTCTTTCATCATGGGCCAAAATTCTATGCATGCATAACACAGCATAACCAGTTTCTTACTGACATAATGAAACTTTTAGTGACCAAAAAGGACAACTTGTGTGAGCATGTGAACAAATAACGACAGCAAAGAAGGTATACATGATCATTAAGCGGCTTACACAAAATACCAACTTGCACTAGGCCACGTATTACAGTCTGTCATACTGTGTTTAAGAGAAGCAAATGTCAAGCAGGGCAATCTCCAACTAGCCTCAAAAACAAGACAACACCAGCAGCAGAAGCACTGACTAACCACAGATACAGCAACTGAACAACAGCTGAAAACAATGGCACCATATAACCACAGAGGGAACCAGACAAAAACAGCAATTATATAGCAGAGATATATCTGGTAAAATACCCTACTGTCCTCCTTATCAGCAAACAAATGAAACACTGAATTACTGTAGTTCTTTAAGGACTTTAAATGGGTCAATAAATGTAATACTAATACATATACAAAACTGATCAACAATCTTTTACTAATATTCCTTAAGTTGTACTTGGACAGCACTTTTAAAGCAGCCTTCCTTTAGGGCACACGGGGAATATTTAACAGAGAGTTTCATTTTTCATTTCCTCTACGAAATATCAAGGAGCAAAGCTAGAAGTACCTCGGGCTGGGCAATACGACACTTTTGTTATCGAGACAAATTAAGTCACAATATGTCACAGTAGGTTTTTCTGAGCATATTGTGAATATTGTCAGTACTTACAACACTTGCAACTGCATGTTTGACTACAAAGTGAACATAATTAGTCCTGTTTAACTGCATACAGTGCGGCACAAGTATAGGAAAAATAATTAATTATAAAAAAAATATATTTAAAAATAAATTTAACATAACAGTTTGCTTGATTCAAGTGTGTACATTGAATAAATGTTACATCAACATAATTACTATGTGTAAGTACTTAATTAACTTAATTGAGGTTGATGTGGAACCAATGTACACATCTGAATCATGTAAATACATCTGCTTTTTTAGTGCACTTTTGACCATATTTACAACTCTCACCTGTCTTGGGGTCATCCCACAAAGCTGATATCTTGGCCACATATGGTAAGGATTTCTTTCTTGGTCCAGAGCGCAACAGCACAGTGTCTCTGACCCGAATCACTTCTCCATCTCGCTCTACTCCTTCATAACACTGACGTAGGGCAGTCTCATCGTCTCCCTGCAAAAAAAACACACTCACATAGAAAAGGCTCTTGTACAGCATGCCATGCTAACCAGTAGAAAAAAGAAGCTCACCGCGATAAAGACTTCTCTCTCTGTAGGTTCTCCATAAGGGCGCCAGCCGTTTGTCGCTCGGTGGCGATTCACCTTTTTCTGCTGTTTGGCACTTACTGGGCTGGGCACTGGCTGTTTCGGAGACAGTTTTGAGCGCCCTCTAGCAATGGAGCCATTGGATGGTTTGGTGCTTTGAGGGCATTCTTTAGGCCCTTGAAGCCTGACCTCTGTCTGTCTGTTGTCTGAGAGGGTGGACAGAAGACGTGGTAGAACTGTGGAGGATGGGCTTACTCTGGGCAACGGGCAGCCAGAAAGGGGCAATGCCGGTGGCACAAGCAGTGAGGACTTGTGATCCCCTTGAGGTGAAGAGTAGCCTTCTGCAGAAATGATAAATACAGCATTTAGTGTGAAGAACAAGCAGTGCCTTGTCTTTAAAGCTGCACTATGTAAGATTTGGGCATTTGTAGACCTCTCTGGTGGAAAAGTGTAATTGCACACAATGTGCAGAAGAACATTTTGTACCATTTTGAACACCTTCCCTGAGCAGACAAATCTGATGACTGTGAGTGCTTTGAAAGGGTATCCAAAGAGAACTCACAACTTGATGAATGACATGTCTTCTAAGGATGTAAGTTAATTATCTACTATTGTCATCAGATCTTCATCAATGTAATGATGATTTTGCATTTGAGAACTAAACATCAAGGCTGGCTTTCTTTATGAGTCTGTACATATGACATTAACATGCAAAGACGTGGTGTGGTCCAAAAACTATCAAGAAATCCAAGCTGACACCTCTAACTTTTAAATTACTGTTTCAGGCTTTACAGGGTTACTTGCAGCAGTGAGATAATTCAGTAATGCTACTTCTTTCAATTTTGAAAACACATCATATGTAGTGCAACTATAAGTAAGCCCACAGTAAGAAAAGGATCTGGCCGCAATTGTAAGGTGCCACTGAAGTGCACTTTTTACAGGGATTCCTCACAAAATGACAAAAACCCCAAAATGGCTGTACCTGGAGTCTGTTTGGCAGAGTGCATGTACACAGCACTAGTGACACTGATCATTTTCAGCATATATGTAAACATTGTTTGTATTGTATGTAGGTACATCATATTTTTACACAATGACTCAACTACAATGAGTCATGCAAAAACAGTACTGCACAAACATCAGAGACTACCCTTTCATTTATTTATTTTCCAGTTAAAACAGCCATTACGTACAAGTCATTATATTTTCAGTGTCAAGAAAAAAAAAACAGGAAACACATATTTACAGAAAAATTTAACAAAATCCTCCAAAAGTGTGTATAATGTCAAATCTTTCCATATTTAATTTGACGATGGGAGCCCTAAGAACCGTGCAAGACCCGGTAGACCACCAAAACTGTCACCATCAGATAAACAGTAAAGCTTTCATCTTTGAGAGAGAGGAGAAAATCAAGCTCCACTCCTGCTTCAGATCTGAAAAAATTCACAGGTGTTTCTGTCCATCCTACCACTGTGAGAAGACAACACAACGTTATGAGTCTGAAAGGACATGTAGCTGTCAAGAAGCCATTATTAAGAAAAGGTCAAAGAAAAACCTGCACTACAACAACGAAACTGGACACCTGAGATGTGGAGTAATGTTTTAAGGACTGATGAGTCTTAATTTGTATTTGGGATTACTTGGATTTTAAGAAGCAGAAAGTGGAACCAACTTCTAAGACTGAACTTCTTGTGGAAAAATATCCCTGTAGATTTCTTTGAAAAGGTGAAATCAAGTAATCCTAGATGAATGGAAGACGTAATAAAGGCAGAGTGGACACAATAAATACTGGAAAAATTATATTTAGTTGAAGAGATTCAGTGCAATTCTTTCTTAAATATGTTTTTTGCTTTTTTTTCCTGATGTAAAAAAATTAATAATTTGTACTTAATGACCATTTAACTTGAAACGAAGTGGTTAGCCGAGTAAAAATATGTATGAGGTATGAAGGAGATCTGCGTTTTTCAGCTCTGTTTTCATCTCTTACCTGTTTTGATTTGATGGCTGCAGTTGGAGCAGCCTGTGGCATAAGTGCACGCCCTGCTGGTGACTGGCTGCATAGCACTGAAGGCGTAGCTGCCGACCCTGCAGCCCTCGCTGTAGCAGGGTGACCCCACCGAATTGCAGAAGGTAGGGTGTGGGATTCCTGAGGCATGGGAGACGGAAGAGGACAGCAGTTTGGACCCGTGGACCCTGCGGGCACACAGGGAGCTGTGTGCACAAGGCAGAGGCTGCGTACTTAGGCTAGAAGAAGGAGGCCCAGGGTGAGCGATGTGAACGTAGTAACCAGAGTAGCAGGGGTCTGCACACAGGCATGGGTGGGCACTGAGGGTGAGGGCTGGGTGTGCCAGTGACGACGGAGGAACCAGGCATTCACGTTTCACTGAGGTCACAGGGTGCTCGTCTGTCTCGCTATAGGCCTTCTGCCCCAGGAACAGTGCCAACCTGTGGCAGTATTCCACTGAGCCCTCGGGAGGACAGCAGAAGTAAGAAGGACTAAGATCGGTCTCCACCTGCTCTTCTTTCACCACCTTAAGGGGATATCCCATCATACTGCGAGACTGGTACCCTGGTTTTGTTAGGCGGTGATGGTTAGTTGCCCCTTCCCACTTCAGTTTGGACTCCAAAGTTCCCCTACTTTTGCACACCGCACAGCCACCTCGTGGTGAAGCCTGCTGAATGCCTTGCTTCTTAGGCTGTCGCACCCTGCTTTTAGACCGTATAGTCTGCTTCCCTGTCACGCAAACATCCTTACTGTCTGCCTTCACTCGCTGCTTGTTTCCTGTAGAGGAGCTTGTGAGCTTCAGCAGGGCAGCAGCATTTAGTCCAGCAAGGCGTCTAGGAGTGGGAGCGTACAGACTCAGTTCATTGTCATCTTTCTCCTCTGACTTGCTTTTCTTGGCCTGCTTGTGGCTTTGGCACGATTCAGTCTTACGGGCTTGTGCAGACCTTTTTGAAAGGGAGTAAATCTTTGTATCGTCTGCTGCAATAGCAACAGGTGGGACCTCTTGCTGCTGTTTCTTAGTGAGCTTGCTGCCTTGTGGTGCATCTGTTTTTTCCAGCAGGAGGCTGTTGACTGCTTCAGCATTGAGAGAGGCGAGCCGACGCTTACGAGGCTCCTGAACTGGGGTTTTAATGATCGTTGGTTCTGATTTAATTTGAGATGGTGTACACAATGATTCCTTGGCTTTTTCTAGCTTTTTGTTACGTTTGATGCTCTTCTTTTGCAAATTTCTTCTTCGAATTATGTCTGGATCCTCATCACTCAAGTCATTTCCCTGTTCCAAAGCATCCTCCTCCAGGCGGGTGAGTAGGACATGGCAGCTCAAGGCCTCAGTCTCTGGTGTGCCACCCCTCCCTCGTAGTGGGTAGAGCTTCCTGTTCCGCTCTTCCCTCAACTTCTTGGATACTTTTGCCTTGCCTTTTTTAACCGCATCCGTCTTGGTCCTGTCCTTGTTCAGAAAATTCTCCAGCCTGGCTCTGCTCTTAAACCCATCATGGATCCATCTCTCCATGCGCTGCTGTCCTTTTTGCTTGTCTCTCTTGGCCCCAGATTTGACAGCCTTGCCATCTTTCAAACAACGCTCAGGCCAAGCTCTTCCCATGGTCTTACCATGGGACCAGCCATCTAAATAGTCATGGCCCTCGCCACGGCACTGGCTGAGGGAACCCTTTTTCCTAGCTTGGGTCATCACATGCTTTCCGAGAAAATCTAAAAAGGGACAAAGACATTAAATGCATTTAAGAAATGTCATTTAAAAGTAAATCAAGTCTCACAAGCTACTCAGGCTTACTGCTGACCTGATACAGAGAACACATGGAACTGCTGGGTTTTCTGTCATGACATCTTACTCTTCACATATAAGAGACTATTCTGTTTATTTAGTAATACACACTTGATCACCATCCTGGAAAGGGATTGGCTCTTTTGACTAACTACTTCTTACTATTACCTTAGGCCTGTCACAATTATTACACAGTCACCTGATCACAATTATTTAAAATAAACACAATTATTTTATCTGACTGCAATTATTTTCCACTCATTAGATTTCACAGTCATCATATCGCAACAAGCATAACGTGAGCCGTTTTTATTAGATGGTTTAGTCAAATAAATGTAAAAGAAATCACTTCTTTCTTAAATATACGTAACTTTTTTTTACTAACTTAAGAGTTCTAACTTGTAGCTTTGTGCTTGTAGTATAACTAATGCTAATTTTAGCATTGTATGCTTGTAGAGCAAGTGTTCTTCGCTCAAATTTTCAGTTTCAAGGAAAAATGTAAGCAATATAACTGTAGATGCTTCATCTCTTGTTAGCTGCAAAGTAACTAGCTAGTAAAGCAAGAGATCTAATCCAACAGAATAATCCAATTTAGCTGCTACACTTGTACTTTATTAGTTGCATAAAATAACCAAATCACTAAATGCAATTATTTATACAACAATTATCATCAGCTAAAATTTCATGATCACAGGCCTACCTCCACTGACACCCGAGGCCCGATTTACTAAGGAGTGCGCAAAACATGCAGCACATGCTAAAATTCAGAGAGCTCTAATTTACACCTGACTTATTATGAGCTGCCATTTAAAAGACGTCACCTGCAAACTGGCTAATTTGAATTGTAGAGACAGTGAAACAAAGATTCACTCAGACTGCACTTTGACCAGCTAAAGACAGACGAAAACAGACAGAAAGGAGAAATTCTCTCTAAAAGACCTGGACGGAGGAATCGAGTCTCTTTTTCTAAAAGAGGAGCAGTTTGGGACATCACTATGAAGAAAATGAAGACAACTAAAGAGCCCAAATCCTACAATTTTCTTGTATTCTATGTTTACCCAGAGGCCCACTAATGATGTTTGTATAGTTTTATGTATCAAAAACAACATCTTTTTCCAACCTCTCTTTATCTCTGAGAACTATACTGCCTGTTTTGTTATTGTGCCTTTAAGACTATATATGTAAATGATCTACGTTATGATTGGCTTGCTTGTATTGTGCCTCAATTGAAAAGCAGTCTGGGCTAAAACACTCCTCATAAATTCAACACGAGTAGGTGGGGCTAAACTGCTGTAGACTAAATAGGCAGATATATGTAAATGTGTTTATGTTTGTTACATCACAAGAACAACTACCTTAATATGGGCTGTTTTGCAGCTCAGTTGATACATATTTACTGTATGGACTAGGGACAGTACAGTATTATTTGAAACTTTAACAATACTTGTACATTCTTATATTTATACACTTTCATTTTTAAATTTTAAAAGCTTTCATTTCAAGTAGTTTGGACAATTAAGATTTTCCATGATATGAACGCTTTAAATATTTGTCATTAAATATACATGGGAATGTTTTTATCTTTCATTTATTTATATATTTGAATATTCCAAAAACTAAACAATTTTTTCCATGTTCATACTTTTTTTTATATGTAAACATGATGCTCAGTCCAAAGTGAAAGTGAAAGAAACAATACAAGAAAACTGACAAGCAAACAAGCAAGAAAACAATTATATAATAGAAGTGCATATAATTATACACTTTTTAGAAGTGAAGAGATAAAAAGAGAAGCATGCTTTTCATATCATGTCTTCTCTCGTTCCTTCAGTGCAGTGGCTCTTTTTTAAGTAATTGCACCTACTTTTTCTGGGTTGCTCAGTGTTGTGGATAGTCTCCTCCCCTATCTTTACACCTCAACAATGCCACGCCCTAAAATGCATATTCATTAAGTCTAGCATGCTAACACCTGCAGGTCCGTGGTGACCTCGTGTGCACACACAAAAAGGCTTCTGAGCAGATATTGCTAAATCAGCTGTGAGTGCTTTTTCGAGCACAACATGCATTAGTGCCACTGCAAACATTCAGTAAATCTGGCCCTTTGAGTCATGTATGTTTGAATTATGTTACATTAATACATGCCTGCAGACTGGTCAGCTTTTATACTAGTGAAAGTACTGCCATGCTTAACTAATGGGATATCCAGTAACACATGTTTCTGCTTTTCATGAATGCGAACTGCAGGATAAATGCCAAATATCTCCAAATTTACAGCTGCTTTTCTCTTCCAACTGTATGTTTGGATGGAAGCTAACTTTCTTTGCAGATCATCCAGCTCTATTCATAGCATTTCGTATGACTTATGAACCCTCTCAGCTTCATGCAAGAGTTGTATTGACTGTTACAAATATAGTACAGACTCTGCAAACCTTTGAGTCCTTAGTGTTTTCGTTTTCCTCAAAATAACTTATTCAGTGGTGGTTATATCAATTTTCAATCAATAAAGTCATTTAAAGCCAGTACATGCTTGAAATAAAGTAGTATGCAACAGTTTGGGCACCCCTGCTCAAAATCCAGGTTCTGTTGATTTTTTAACTGAAATGTTAATGAAGTTAACATATTCTCTACAGAGAACGGACGTCTAATCCACAAATAATACACAATTACTGTTTATTTACTTTAACATAGTGGAAAAAATTAAAACCTAAAAAGCGGCCTGTGCAAAATCTTTTTTTCTGTATGTTAAACTCAGTAAATAGATTGAAACTTTGCACTAATATTTACATTTGTTCCAAAAAAAGTCATTGACCAGAGGTGTTCAAACTTTTGCATACACCTGTATTAAATGTCACTGACTAACATTCCATGCCTGTAAAAACCACTGTACTAACGATCAATGACATCATGATCAAGCTTCCATACAGTGTTAGTGGACCTACAGTGGCAACTGTGCATTGCTCTTTAAAGAGAGTTCAGTCCTGCCCTCCAGTCACATTTTCCTGTATATTCTATCAGTCTAATTTTAACAGATCTACCATTTTCCTCTCTAGCTGACTATTTGTATACTAACTCACCATGAAACACTCAACTGCTTGAGTAATTACAAGAGTAAATAACTTAATAAACACAGGTTTAGTTAAATCTCTTTCAGATACATAAAACAGCACAATCAGCGATATCTAGAAGAGTACACAGCACAATCTATTACAACTGAAATATATAAATCTTTAAAAAAAGAAATACTCTAATGTTTGTCTTTAGTGACACAGGAACAAAGATGACGTGTCTTTGTCAAACTCTTTGAATATGGAAGTTATAGATCAAACTCTATACAATGTTCATTTATAGTTTGTATGGCTGCCAAACCCTGTAAAGAAAATCTGCTCTGTCACTGTGTCACTAATAAACAGTCATATTGTTATGTAGCTCAAGCATTTGGGTTTATGTTTGTTAAGGTTTAACCCCTAAACAGGCCCAAGGTTTTATTACACACTCCTATAACCCGAGAATAGCTTAACCAGTTTGCACTAAAGTCCCTGTAGTTACTGAATAATAAGCCTTAGTATGTAATAAGCCTGTGATTTTAAGGGGTTAACAGTCACAACAGCTCTCTCTGGATGCAATGCTGCATTTCAGCTTTAAAGAATACTGCATATAAAAATTGTAATGGCATAATGTCATTTAAGCAGCAAGACAGATTTCCCTTAAAAGTGCCTAAACATTATATGAGACTGAGCTCAACAAACAAGTCTTTCAAAAAACACTGGCCTCTCAGACTCTTCCACGGTACACTTTATCTGAGCCACAGTGTTCAAGGACCTTTCATGAAATGCTATGAACGTGTTAAAAAATACAACAAAGTTTAAGGCTTTAAGTTGAATATGATAAAGATGGCAAAAGTCATCAGTTACAGCATATTTAAAGGGGAATTTCCAAATGGAAAGTATTGCTTACTTTATTGTTATGATGTAAACAGAGTCATTCATAGAGGTTTGAATTGACATACTCCCCTCAAGACAAACTTATCAAGTCAGCTAAGTTCACAGCTGTGGCGACAGGAACCAGACATCTGAAGCGTTTATGTATCCAGCTAAAGCACATTTTAAATACATGCATGGCAGAGAAAGGCATTGTAGGGAAAAACAGTACCCAAGGAAAACAGATTTTCAACTGCTTTACAACCATCGATGACATATAGAACTCAGAAGACATGTGTAGGCACACGGGTCATTTTGAACAGCAAACTGAATGCTTTTATCTAAGTTGTAGACACTGCAACACCTGGTTCCAATGAACACCACTGTGAAGAAATCAGAGTCGGTAAGTTTCTCCAGAAAGGCGCACACTGACATCAAACTGCCCTGAAGGAGCTTGTTTACATCTCACTGACTTATTTATACAGAAATCAGTCAATCAGTCAGACAGTTAATTGGAGGGAAGACACAGCAGAACATCATGTACTGATGAACAAGCTACAGTGAGCCACAACACCTCCATGCACTGCCACTTGAAGACTCCTACTTCTTTATAAAACATCTTTCATCCCTTAAGAAGATTATGAATGCACTAATTACACATTTATTCACTCATTATAAGCTGCACATTACATGATAACTAATGTGCCTCATCTCACGGAACCGTATGCTGGTATTTGATATGAGCCTTTCCTCTCCTGTTTGCTGATAGCTGTTAGCTACTATATGGCGCCGTGTCTCCAGGCGCTGTGGCTCAGCTTCCAGTCCAGCTGCACCTGACCCAAGCAGCGGCCATGGGGGGCTCCGCTCGTCCGCTACAGAGCTGGCCGCATCCTACAAAGACTCCGACGAGAAAACGGGACCCTCAGGAAGTTTAGAGCCGAGCAACAAAGCGGAGCGGGGGGCACGCAGCGCGTGACGAGGGCTGGATATCATACATACTTTCTACGGGA